TACAAAATGAAAACATAAGCTTTAAGAAATTGCTGAGAAGTTTCCTAGAGATGTATCACAAGCATAGCCCTTCATCTATGAATAAGGTTATTTAGGGTTCGTTTGGTTGGAGGATTCAAACCATGTGATTCGAATTATTTTCGATTTACGTGTATTTTTTGTGAGAGAAAATACTGTAGCGAACCACGAATCATTATTCGAATCAGGGAACGAATCCCTCTACCAAACGCATCCTTAGTTTCATTAGCAACACACAACGATCGACGAGAAAGGGTTGTAAAGATAGAAGAAGAGGAAATAATATAAGAGAAGAAGAAAGTGTGTAAGATAGAGAAAAGAAAGTGTGAGCTAAGATTTAATTAAAGAAAATTTTCTCTCTCTTTTTTGTCTCTTTGTCTTACTATTGCCTATATAACATATATATATATATATATATATCCCCAATTTATAACAATGAGTAATTTAATTATTAGGACTTTTTTGAAATTTTAATAAGGACAATGTAATAAGTACATTAGGGGATGGTTTAAGAATGTACAGTATTAAAAAAAAAATAAGAGATGTCAATAGACGCATCTAATTTTAATGTACAATATTTACAATTTTAATTTTTTTTATGTAAATTACTCGTGTTAATTAATTAAGTCGATATATGAGTGAACTTCCAAATAGATCACTGTATATACTAGAAATTGATGTAAACAGAAGCATCCAAGTTCCTTGTGATGTATACTACTAACTTTTAGGCGAGAATTGATATAAAGACCCGACTTCTCAAACCGTCATTAGACTTGCTCAAAACTTACTCTTTTTTTTTTTTTTTTTTTTTTTTTTTTTTTTTTTTTTTTTTTCTTACTTAGTTCCCAGTTACTAAAATTCAAAGATTTTTTTCTCTTTTAAACTTAAACTTAAACTTATGAAACTTATCCTAACAACTTGACATAAGTCTCCAAGAATGCGATAATTGGAAATACCGTAATACATAAGTATCTAATAAAACTTTTTGTAAAGCTTAGATAATTTAGTTTTGGAATTCTAAACACATAACCGTCAGGAAAAATATTTTAATAACAATTTACATAGAAATCTTAAGGATAAAAAAAACAAAAATACCACTTTTATGCTATTTTGTTATTATTTCAATATTAGTTAAATCGTTTCTTATTTTAGTGGAAATTTTAATTAAATAGTTATCTAGAAATAAACATAAGTTAAACATTTAAATATTTATAAATTCGACATTACTACATCATATAATTTTACTACGTAAATACTTGTAAATATAAATACTTTTAAATTTCCTTACGAAAATACTTTTAGTTGCGGAATTAATTTGTGTGACAGTATCCAAACTCTTATCTCTATCACCATGCATCGCATCAGCCAGTCTACCGATTAAAGTTTTAAGTGACAGGCTTCTTATCCGAATGACCTACAACATAAACACACATGATAAGCTAATGCTTAACAAATACAAACTTGAAATCTCACAATGGAAGTTCAATGGATATGCATGACATTTTATGCATTATCATATTATGCATATAACTTTTTATGGGCTCTGTGCTTGCACTGAGTACGGGCAATCAATGGAGAGTTAGGGGAGTTACCCTCCAACTATACCTAAGGTCATATTGATATAGCATAATTTAATTAACCTGACCTTTCTTAAGTCGGAGGGTGGACGACACTTAATTTAGTTTTATTTACCATAACCTTTTGATCATCACTCAGGAGCATAAAATTTCAATTCATAAATAAAGAGGCAATTATGATATGTAAAAATCCTCAAAGTATAAGTCATTCATACGTAGTAAGCCTTTATCATTTATGCATGGTAAACATTTCTCATACATAACAAACATTTTCAAACAAATTCATGTTGTAGGTAAGTTTTGTACTTAGATTTCGCTGTTGCATTATTCTAAGTTTAATCCTCGCTTGTTATCTCAGTCGGTATCGTGTCCTAATAGAATTGACAACTGACTATCAGCGTATAAATTTCGTAAATTGTCATCAGACAAATCCTAATTGATTTTAGACTCATTTAGAACATATTAAATTTTTCGTATTATCCCATGGTTTAATAATTAATTTTCCCAAATTAAATATTAATAATTTTCGTGATGGATGTTAATACAATTATTTTGTCTTACAGAAATTTCCTCAAAAACTTATCCGTAATCGTTGGATTACTTCCCATAGTTTAACCTTAATCAATTATTAATTAGATTGATAATTAATTTACCACTTATACCTACAACCGATTTATTATTCAATCCAAATAATTATTCTCAAAATTTTATGGAAAAAACCGGCTTAGAAATAAAACCAACTTATTCATAATTAGGCATTCAAGTTATCAAAAGTAATTCTGGCCTATGATTTTCCATATTGGTTTATTTTATTGTGTTGGGTTTTCGTCGGACTATTAAAGCTCGTTAGTATTGATGCTATTCCCTTTGTTCTTTTAGTAAACAATTATTAACTTTTTGGGCCCAATAGACCAATTTCATAGTTACCCAGTGCCTTAGGCCTAGTTTAGTATTGCTGTAGATTTTAGAAAAATTATTTTTAGTTATGCTGAAAAAAAAATAGTTGTTATAAAAAATAGTTGAGTGTAGTAAACTATAATTATAGTAATTGTACTAGTTCTCAAATCAGTGTAATAGCATTTGATAAATTATGAGATTGAATTACTGTGTATAGTTAAAAATTACGACTATATTATATTATACTATACTATAATATATATAATTACAATATAATTTATATTTATTATTATATTTAATATAATAAAAAAACTATTATTACATAATATATTATATAATTATGATATCAATTATAATAATATTATTAAAATAATAACTGAAATAATTAAAAATTACGATTAGATTAGATTATACTATAATGTAGTATATATAATTGCATTATATATTTATTATTATATTTAATATAATACAAGAAAATTATTATTAAATGACATATTATATAATAATGATATGGAATATAATAATATTATTAAAATGGTTAATATAATTACAATTTATAAAAGAATAATATTTCAGTTATAAAATAATTAAAAATCACAACTATATTATATGATATTAAAATATATAATCATTA